TTCATAATTGACTTCCTGTCAACTCGGATGGGGATCGGAAATCGTTTAGCCCTAACACCTCTTCGGAGTGTGAGAGGAGAGACGAAATGACACTACCGTAGGGTTTGATTTTTGACGAAAGATGGACTGTTGTCATGTGAGAAGGAAGCATGGGGATCTTCCTTGCTGTTCTTCTCAAGGATATTGTGTAATCCATCCACAAGAACAAGATGCAATTCTGAATGTTACGCCGGGGTGTGAAACAATATTGGGGTCAGTTGCGTCGCGATTTTTTTCCCACTCAGGATAAATAAAAAACCGCCAACAAATCTACTGTTCACTGACTTGCTGAGCGCTTTTGGTTCAATACACGGAGGATCCATAACAAGTCAAGTTGTGTCCTGAAGATGTGTGGGACTCCGTTAAGGCCACCTAGCTGAGTCAACCGATCGCAAATCCCGTTGGATGACCGGAATGCGCAGTTTTTAGAGTTGACATTTGTTGCTGTCGTCCCTTCTCGCGAAACGGCAACACCGATACTTTCATAAATACAAAATATGGTCGCCTGAAGAAAACACCCTACGGGCTACACTTCCCCAAAACACCTGTCCATCGCATACATGTGTTGTGAAGCTGATTTCTTTACGATTCATGGGTATTCATATTCAATGCGAACCTTGTTTTGCCTTACTTGTCCAGACCGAATTGTGATCCAAGGTGTCAAACAAAACTGCAGAACCTAGTCGATCGGGCAATCAAGATCAAATCCGACTGAACAGCGGCTAAGAGCGCGGAAACAAGTACAACAGCAACAGCTGCGCAAAAGGGTAATTAAGTTGACATCATTCGTAGAAAAGCACTTGTGTAATTTACAACCTGGATTCATTGGTTTAGCAGTTTTGTCCGTCTACTCCGAAAAAAAAACATGAAGCGATTTCGGTTACTAAACATCATAATTGAACGCACCCAAATTATCATCGGACGCGTCGACTCCACGAGTCCTACTTGACCGTTCAGCCGCAGCAGGCGTGAGTCGTGATTCAGCATGAAACGACCCTCCTTCTGGATCATCCTCACTGTTGCTCAGGACGACGACAGATGAGGAACCAGACGTGACTGGTTCATCCGATTCCGTGACAACGCGGGAGTTTGCATTTTTCGGATTGTCATCGCCCAACAGAGGAAAGTTCGATGGCCCGGCCTGTCATCAAGAAGAAAATACAGAGTGGTACAAAAGACAACTTGGGCCAAAGCATGAAACACAACTGTCAGCTCGATATTCAAAATACAGTTTGAAATGGATGTGGAGAAATAATGACATCAAGCCAGCTTTTAGTGTCACCGAAATCCAGCTGTTTTAAGTCATGAGTCGTGCAAGACTGTGTGTGGGTTCACCAACATTTGGATGTTCACAGTTGAAAAGGAATGAGGGAACAAATTGAGGGTCTTAAAGTGTAGTGGACGTTAAGAGTAAGTGGGCAAATAAAACACGGAAGTTGGCTACGAGACTTCGTCATGTTGGTGAACGGACCTCTGCTGTCCCAAATTAATAGACGGCACGAGTCAACGAGGCTTTGTTCCCGGACCATGACTTATCCGCCTTGGGTCTCCTTCAAGTTACAACGCGTTTAGGTCAACGGAGTAGGATGAGGTAATCTATCACCGGACATGCGAGCCAGCGTGGCTAGTTTAGACATCTCAAAGTCAAATGGTCGTCTTCTGTTCCAAACGCATTGGCCAGTTACCTGCAATTTTGCGGGTCCTATATGCCACTAATAAACTAGTGTCACGTAGATTCCAAAGATACTTGAGTTGAACGAAACAAATCGGTACTGGAAATCCACTCACTCACACCGTTAGCAATACTACTAACCGAAGGGATACAACCCTAATTATGGGTCTTAGAAGCCACTTCGTGCGCATCAGACGCGTGGCCAGACTTGGCGTTGTGTGGATCTACTAGCAGAGGAGTTTAGCTCTACAGTTTGAGGGGCCGGAAAATATTCCAAGACGTACGGCAAAATTGTTTAGGTTTCTACTTGGACAGAAGCTGGGTAAGCAGCGCGACATCGTTCACCTAGTCTAGGACAACAAGGCCTTTCCCGGGAGAGTTCGATGCAAGAGATAGGCAAGTTTTTTCTCAATAACTTGATAACAAGGTTGAATAGGGGTGATCCGACCACACGTGTCGCAATAAAGGGGCGAAGTTCTTTGGCACGTTTGCAGGGAAAACACGTCGCCGCAAGTCAATGCGACGGACTGAGGTGAATGCTGCTTTACGTCTATATGTATGACAATGTACTAGGAGATTTACTGGAGACAGAGAGAAGGTAGAATAGACAGAACATTGCTTGGTTTTCACAGTGTTACTTCATGGGGATGCTGGAAAGCTTTGGATCAGTTTAGCAGCAGCTTAGAGTGGATACCCCGATGACCCACGCACTCAACTCCAGAACGACAAGCGAGACCTGTCACCTTCAAAGCATTTGGTATAAGTCGTATCAATTAGTGAATAATCTTCAGATAGGGTAGAAAACAGTCTCGACCACATATTCCCCCCCTTAAACAGTGTGATTTCGCTACGAACTTCATCTTAGGGTAAGGTAAGGCAACATGTAACCCACCATGAAGTGTTTATAGCCGGCTCAGGTGCAGGACGCCAGCAAACTTCTTCGTGATGTTCTGGCCATTAGAAAAAGAATCAGAGAACTATTTTGAATACTTGATGCAAGACACCAACTGAACTGCCGTTCGATATGTTCTGTCCAGATTGACTGTTTCTTTTCCCATAGAGTTTCAGACACAAATGATTGCTACGACCACATTCTGGGATAAGTTGGAAAAGTTCTCGGTGGCAAAACCCAATCTCGTTTCGAAAGCATTTTGGGCTTCTTTTTCTGTTCTGATCCCATATTTGAGTTTCTTTCTGTGCGTGCTGCTGAAGCCGTTGGAGCCGGTGCTTCGAATGAAGCATAAGGTTGGCTCAGATACACACCTGTAGGTCTCTTAGTCGAATAATGCCCATCTACTTTACACGGTTTCGCGCACTTCAGCAAACTGTGCGATATCCATAGGCTATCAGAATCTGCAAAGTTGCTGGATCCAGGACAAAGGAATATGAGCACATATTGGACTGATTTTTTCGACAGTGCCAATGGAACTTCTTTTCAGTAAAACCATCAAGGAGCACTACCACTCTCTGAAACATACAATCTATTGGACCGCTGGGAAGAAACCTCGGAACCTGATACTTCCAACACTTAATGTCGACCCTTGATTGAAACACGGAACCTTCTTCAGTCTTAGAAGCGTTTGAGTGTATGTCTCTACTGAAACGTCAGCGTGCTCCAGGTCCCGACGAACTACCACGGGCTGTACTGAAATACACCGATGAATTTTCCAGCCAGTGTCGCCGTCTATTTGGCGGAGAAGACCATTACTGTGGTGAGTTTATGATAAGGACCATCATCAAAAGATATTATTAGTGAATTTAGTAAGTACAGGTTTGATTTTCGTCATCCCCTTCCAAAGGGAAACCTCATCTCATGGGAAAAATCTGGAGATACAGGTTAGGTAGGTCCACCTCCAATTATACTGATGCATTTAGAGATGACATTCAGTTATTTTCGACTTTCGGTTCTTTGCTTGCGTCGCCTTTTCTGCGTAGCTCACAATCCATACCACACCGGACAAACAGACCCATTGTACGTCAATGCACTGATTGTGCCTCGAATGCGTTGTTCTCATTTATTTATTCTCCTTATCCTCGGTGAACGAAGCTGTAGCAGCTGAAACCGACGTATATCGATTAACAGCCTACGAGATAAAAAACTTATTTGAACTGAACTTTTGTATCGAATATTCTTGGGGCTGCCAGTATATCGCTATTCTAAGGCTCCTAATGACGGATCGGGGCACTTGTCATGGAGTACGAATCGTTTCGCTCTAATCGAAGCTACACAGAGATCAGAGATGAACTTAGTTCCAGTTTAGCCAAGGAAGACCAAACCCACTGCAGTCCACATCTCCTCATTCTCCGTTTCGTCGTACAGCTAGATTAACATCTCATCGGGATCTATTGAGTTGGTACTCGTGGACTTCTTTGAAAGTGGCGTACTGTGGACACTCAAGGTGGAAGCGACGGGTGAGACGGACCACCGAAGGTTCGCACGCAGATGCTCCTCACCAGCTGCGCAGGTCGAGAACGTCAGAAGATTTTCAGTGTTTGACCATTGATGTCTTCGGAGCGTTGCCCGAGTCTTATGAGAACACCTGGTAAGCAGTACTGAAGTATGTCGAATGGTATTCGGGAGAAATAACTCACTCATCGTCGATAGATGAACTGATCAAACTGCATAGGCTGTGCTGGCTAGGCCACATACTTCGTAGGCCAGTCGACCGGCTTCCTCGAAGGGTTATTTTCGCACAACCAGGAGAAGGGTGGAAACAAGTCAGGCGAGGTAGCGAAGTGGGAAAGCCATTACCAACAAACTCATTGCCCCTCCCCGGATGGGGACCCCGAGGGGCCACATCAACGGTTAGAGACATTGTCTGACATGGCGCAGTCACGCCTTTAATGGCGCCCATGCATCTAAGCTACTGTCTTCAATGTATAGCTCCTTTCCCGATCTCCCCACTTAAAAGCCCATTGACAGCTCTGTATTTACACAGCAATTATATCAACTACCGCTTCCAACACGCACCTACCTGTCCCACCTCCCTAAATCATCGGTGAACAGAACTTTGGCAGCTGTACGACAAGCGCGCGAATCTCACAAGACAGTGGAAACCCACAGGGCGTTGTTCCGAGACCTTATTCTTGGACTGTGATTAAAGGACCTGACCGCTACATGGACAGTGGCTTTTATTTTGAACGCTTGCTCCGTAATCTGTGTAATCTGGGCGCCATATTTCAGCAGTACGGAAATGTCACAGAAGACTAACACTGACCACTGTTGGGCTTAGTGACGGTTTTCTGAACTCCATCTGGTTGGTGTCCGCTTTACATGGTGTTGTACGTTGTTCAGTTAGTCCAATAAGAGTATCATTTAAAGTTATCTGTTAAGACATGATCGTGTCCTTCGTTTTTAACAGGTGACCGTGAAGACGAGTGCCAGACGGTGTGTGTGGATCGTTCAAAATCAGCAACACCTGTTTGGCGACATACAGGTGACCTCCGGTGACACTAAATGGATCTACGAAGGACACTTGTCAAGTCGTATGCGGAAAGCTTGGTCGTTCAAAGGAAAATCCCACAGCTTTTTCAACAGACCAATTAGAGCTTGTCAGCACACTGTTCAATCGATCTCAGATTGTAAAAGCACGTGGTCTAATTTATTGATTCTTACACCTATCTTCGTATAAGCACTGTCATTCTCATAGGCTACCAAATTAGAACACAAGGTGGAGTTGTATGTGTGCAACTAATTTTGAAAACATAATTAGAAATCGTGGAAGTTGGGCCCATTACAAATGCCTTGTTAACATGATTCACAACAGTTTACAATTGCGACGGAATAGGAACGGTCAACTTCAGGAAAAGTTGCTTCACTACTCTATACATGGAACGTGAGAGTGGTGTGATTGGGGAAAAGAGCCCGCAGAAGACGAGAATGGCAATCTAACAAAATATGATACCACAATACAATAAAGGATTAGTAGACAAGGCAAGAAGGGAGTAGTCTGAGGAGTACTCGCCCGATCAGGAGTATAAAGCCTACACTTGTGAACACGAGACCACCATCATCGAAAGCAGGACACTAGTTGACGTGGCACAAAAGTAAACCAGTGTGCTTAATTCATGGATGTCAGTGCGCCAGGATACCGCCAAGGCATGTAAACCCCAACAGCAGGACGATTAAGTCCTCAATCGAAGCGTGAAGTTCAAAAAGCTTGATAGAACGGCAGTAGTGGTCGGTGTGAGGAACAGGTTGTCATACTTGTTCCAACGTCTAACTAACAGGACTAGAAAACTGTTTGTCGGACCTCTCTCCACTGGTAGGAGACCTTGTGGAGGTCGAATGGACATCCTGCAGTATAACCCAATGGGTTATGGAGGTAGGAAAAACGTCACCGAAACATGCGGTTCAATGTCTTCACGAATACGAAGATTCTACATCAAGCTGGATAGCAAAATATGAAAGTCAGAAACATAAAATACTGGTTACTGGGCCCTGTGAGACAACTCCTAGGTCAACCACTGAATCAAATAGTGCCCTTACCACCGACACAGCCGCAGCAGTGCCGTCGATGTAAGTCGGAGATCTTTCTGGCCCCAGTCGTGCCTTGGTTGTAGCGTCAGAGTGAAGGGTTTCATCACTTGTACTATTTCGATCAACCTCACTTCGTTTCTTTCCCCGTCGCCTTCGATGTTTTCCACCACGCTTGTCCGATTTCTGGATGTTGCTAGTCAAAGCAGTTTCGGTAACACCACTATCAGCTGGGTTATCAGATAAACAGGGTGTAGAATTGGCACCACATGGTTTTTCCGAAGTTGATTTTTTGCCGGGGGAAGCATCACGCGGACTAAGTGCCTCTGTATCAGAGTGATCTAGAAGGGATAAACGAAAGTTAAGGTGTTGATACAAGTCTATGTAATGTTGTGACTCAGTTCCGTAAAAATACGTCGAGCCAGGAATGCTGATACAGACAGTCTGTAAGTGTCAATTGACAACACGAAGAAGCACATGTGAGCTAAACGACTGGATTCATTTGGAATTTCTGGATGCTGGATTCCCATCTGTCAGGAGCAAAGATACAGAATGTCAGTACTGTGATTGAACTGAGTGCCCCGCTCTATTCCAGGTCCCAACTACGCAGCTCTGGTGATCAGAAGGCCGCTGAAGCTGGACACGCCGGGGTGGGGATTGTGTTGAGCGATCGAGCGAAAGCGCCTCTGCTTGTTTGGACACCTGTTGACAGTCTCCTCTGTGCGATTCGTTTGGTAACGTCCGAGAAAAAATCTCGACAAAGTTAAGTCCATCGCTCCCTGCTGTTTGCTTAGGCTGCAACGGACTGATGGTCTGAATAAACCAAAGAGAGTTTCTAGCTGCCTTTTTACGACAGCCTAAAGCTCCGGGATCGCTGTGATTTCTGGTGACATGAACGCTCAAGAGGCTGACTAAGAGCTTCTGTGGCCCTACTGGGTAGTCTTCTCGGGCTGGATACGAGACACACAGACAACGGAGATCGCCTACTTCAAATGTGTGCCGATCACAGATTACCCCCTTATAGCACCAATCTTCGGAAAAACGGAAATCGCCTGAAATCACGGTGCCACTAGTAAACCAGCCCCGAATCCAAATAGGCTACGTTGCAATCAGTTATCGGTGGTGGGCGTCGACCACTGCCTGCCGATTCTTCTGGAATACCAGCATGGACTCCGACCATGCACTTGTACGCTGTTGCTTTTCATTGCGCTTTTCAAGTGTACGCAAATCGCGCACACCTCTCTTAGCCATTGTGACTTAGCCGCTGGGAAGCTCGTAAACCAAGAAATAAAACGAAATCATTAGGACCGGCTCTCCCAACGCCTGTAGGGTGCTCCCATATCGGATATTAAAGGCCGTTGAAAACAGAAAAGTCGGAACTTTTGTCTGCAGTACAATTCAACCCACCTTATCCAGAAACTTAATCCCCGATGGGACCGTGGATTTACAGGAGGGCGGATGACAGATTACTCCAGATAGCAACCACAACTTAACAACTCGTCAATCAGCATCATCCGAAACTAAGTGTCTGTGTAGACCAGAAAGCTTGGTAGATCCGAAAGGGCGAAGAAATGGAAACCGGGAGAAATGCTAAAAGTCCACAGGTTGTTCCACTTGATTCGTTCTACTGTTCCTTGCGAGCCTCTTGTCAGTGGAACCATCAGGCACCAAAATGGTTCTCTGATATCCAGCATAGGAAAACGCTCAGACCGTTGGGCACAGTAATAATAAATAATAACAATCGTTCAGCTGTAGCACCCTTTCGGTGCCCAACTGCTATGCCAGACCATTACTTCAGCGTTATCTCGTAGGTTATCGACACAAAGGTACAGATAAAGTACGCGGTCCGGTGCTTTACATCGGCCAAAGTGATTTGGACTGTCATTATGCTACTGCAACGAAGCGCCACTATTGAACACTAAAATCATGCTGTCGATGACGTCCCAGTGCGAACATTGTGACTAGGGCTAAAGAAAGTGCTGTCTCTATTCAAGTATCAAAAAGGTTCAGTTGAGTACCCGATGCTTCAAATCAGGACTACCAGCCTTCAATAAAAAGATGGACTGTGAGTATGATGATGAAGATGGACTGTGAGTATAGAAACCAATTCAGCCCCAAGAAGTGTCTGTGCGTCATTCCGTTCTGGCCCTGAACACCTGCCTAGTGCTCTACTCAAGAATGATGATGGATTCTCTAGCCACTGCTTGCGTCTGTCTGAGAGGACGAGACCGTCCCAGACAACTGGCTAAGTGGATGATGGCACAAATCTCCAAGAATGATGCCTTCGGTGAATGCAGCAACCACCGGAGTGTCAGTTTGACTCCCGTTGTAACAACACTTCTGGCGTGACTGATTCTTCGCCGTCTTACGGTGGGGCACGAATCCTCGATACGTGAGCATCAAGCGTGATTTCGACCGAATCGGGGCTGCGTCGGCCACATATTCACACTCCGTCAGGTGTTACAGAAACAACATATGTATACACAATTCAATTCGATCAAATTGTTTACAACTTATCAGCTACAAATTGTGTGCCACAGGCACATTGGTTTCGTTTGCTACAGATTCGATCACCGGAAAACGGGACAGTATGGGACATGTAGTCAAGCCTTGGAGACGATGACACATCTGGTTAGTTCGGGAACTGGGTAGCTACGCACTGAAGGCGATAGCTTTGAAGCACAAGCGCCACGGACTACGCGATTGGACCATTTCCACCAGTGTCATTAGCCATTGGTGATTTGAGTCCCGGAGTCCCCATCCAGGGAAGCGGCAGTTGCCGACCCTACTATCTTAACTGGTTAGTGTTTTCATACTTCGTTTCCAGGCCATACACTGCTAACCTCTTGGTCGTTTCCACTCAGTACAGGAATGGACAAAAAGAGTTCTGTGAGGCAGGCGGTCTTCTGGCATTAGGAATACATGACCGAACCAGCGTAGCCTAAGAAGTGTGAGTAATTCATCTATCGCGGGAGAGTTTCTGCTTCTTAAAACTATCTGGCGTACCTCAGCAGTGCTAATCCGATGTTCCCACCAGACCTGACCAATCCGTCGGAGACACCAATGGTCAAACACTGACATCTTCCACATGTCCACTGCGCGAGGAGGCTACGTCTCTGATCCATAAAGCAATATGGATCGCACCACCGCACCACCTTGACAGAGAAACTCACGTTACGTCGGCGTAACGTGAGGGAGGCGTAACTCCCCTAGGTGTCGGAGATTGACAAAAGCTGTCCTGGCCTTTCCGATTCGACAAATATCATTTCCAGCCAGTCCACCGGGACTTACACAGCTGCCCAGGTAAACAAATTTATCTACCACGTCGATTAGCTCGTCTGCAAGCATGAGGTGTGGGTTTGATCCCACCCAGTTTTGTACCAGCACTCTTCACTTTGCAGGTGTGAAGCGCATACCAAACCCTGCGGTTATTTAAGATCTGCATTTGGAAAGGATTTGAACCAGGGAGAGCAATTTCGTTCGCATACTCAATATCTGTGAGCGAACGTTTCGGGAGCACTTCGACTCGCGAGGTTTCAGAGGCAGGCAGAGAAATTTCCAGCAGCATATCAATAACGAAGTTGAGGAGGAAAGGTGAGAGAGGGTAGCCTTGTCATACACCACTGGACGCGGCAAAACCTTCCCGCATACTTGTACGCACCCACGGGATTTCGCATACAGTACAACAATAAGGAATATAAGTTTAGAAGGAACTTCTTTGACGGCCAGGCACCGTCACAGTTTCTGACGATTGACCCAGTCAATAGCAGCTTTCAGATAAGGAAAAATGACCGGCTTGGGATGTTTGAAGGGTTGGAACCGTTCAAGTATCTGTCTCAAGGTAAAGATATCGCCAATGCATCCTGGACTAGGGCGAAGCCCAGCTTGATTCTCACAAATGTCTCGCCCGATAATCTATCAAACTGCGCAAAGTGATGCCAGAGAGTACCTTGGATACAACGGGTATAAGAAAGATACTACGATAGTTTTCACATGACGTTTTTGTGCCCCTATAGAAAACTGGGATGACGGCCGAGGAGCTTCATTCGGGTGGTACTCTGTTTTCGTTCCAAATCCTCTGCAGTATGGTCGTCAGACTGTTCACCAGGACTTCGTCATCTTCTTCGAACAGTGCGGAATGCAGAGCATCCGGGCCAGGTGCCTTGTAGCGCTTCAGGGTTGAAATCCCATGCTGCATTTCGGTTGCTGATGTTGGGTTGGTGTCAACATTTCATTCGTGCCCGCTTGGTTCTTCCAGCGTTTGTGTTGAAGGAGATCAAGTGAACTGTTCTTTGAAGTGCTTAGCTCACCGCACAAGATGACGACCGATGGAGTGAATTGGTGTTCAGTGATTTTCACATATTGTTTCATCGATACCTGCCTCCTTTTGATCAGTTGATCGAGTTAGCTAAAACAGGGAGCAGCTGTTGACTACAGCGAAAGCCTACTCCATCTTCACCCACCAGCATTATGTCATTCTTCAAGCTCGGATTATCCGGTTTTTGAAGGATCCACGTGCACCACCATAGCGGCTAGTTGTTGATGTGACCTTTCTGGCAGCAACAAGATCTGCTGTTCACAACGGTATCCAATGCTCATTTATTCGAGTCAGATGGGCTGGACAAATAGTTCTGAAAGCTGAGAAGATTGTTTCTTCCACCCAACTCCATTCAACATCCAACCAGCCTTCGTAATCCAAATGACTGTGCGTTTCCAGCGGCTTTCTAGCCAGATCAGCTCGATACTCTTCAGCTACTGAAACTTGTCGAAGTTGATGAACGGAGCTGCTCTTCTGTGTCATGCGTAATGCTGGCGAAAAGCGAGGTGTAAATCAGGCCCGCATGACGGCGTGATCAGAGTCAAGTTGCGTACCCGAGAAGGAACGACAATCCTTAACTGAGGCTCTCCATCAGTAACTGATAGCCAAATGGTCTGTCTGTAGTAGACTACCTTCAACTAACCCTATGTGAGCATTTGCGCTGGAAGTTCGTACTGGCCAAGAACAGACGGTGGTCTGCACGCAAATGAAGAAACCGCTCCAAACCAACCACCTAACTGTGCTTCTTCCGAACTTAGTCGTCCAACTTAGACCCAGTGTCAGTCTCAGAGCTGCAGTCTGTTGGGGGCGTACACTGATACTGCTTACCGCATCCACAAGCGTTAATCTTAATTGAGTCAGACAATCGCACAACCCGAAAGTAACTATTTCCTGGGATCCAGTCCGGTAAGGTGCTTCCAGCCTTGGGGCTGAGTGCAACTCCCACACCGTAGATACCACGAGCAATTGCGTTAGGATCACCGGATGCCCGAAGAATGAAATGTGGAGCACCTGGGCTTAAGGAACACCAAAGCGACTTGAGAAGCACCAACGAAGTGGTCTTCTATGCGTACTTCGGAGACTAACTATCCATCGATAGAGAGGGAAAGCAAGGTTTCAGCAAGGGATGCCTATTTCCGAATTTGACATGGAGTATTGAGGTTGAAAGCTGCAACGTGGATCAGATCTTTAGAGGCTGGTAAGTGATTGTTTTGGTTTATTTTTCTGGGTGATGGTTGAGACACGGAGCAGTGGTTAGGGGATTGGCAGATGGGTTGGTTGCACTGCATTGTATGATAGGTGGGGAGGGAGTGTCGGATAAGGCTGGTGAGAGAAGACTTGCATGTGCAAATGATACTTCCCAGTTTACCAGACCGAAGAAAAGGGTTTATTTGAGGCACCCCACCTTGAAGCTTCGACTCAAAAATCTGACCCACAAGGCAGTGGGAGGATGCAAGGGGACCCTGTCCTTAGCCTCTGACTCGAAAGTTTAACCCGCTTGGCTGTAGTGGTCCGGCATGGCCCGAAGGCGCAGGGAATCAGGTATTAATATCTCATTTCTGGTACAGCTGCGCACAGCAGATGCCTTTTAAGCAGCACCAAACTCTTTGGTTTTAAAGGTACTTCGACCATATTGAGCAATGCGCCGGCGGTCAGATCAACCCATCGAGCGAACAGAGTGCGCGGTTTCTAGGGTCGATCTTTCTTACCCCGTCCTTCCTAGGGGGGAAGGTGGCACCGCTGTTTCCATGAATATGAACATGTTGGTCACCTGGGGAAAACGCTTTACTTCCCTCACACAGAAGATGCAGAGGACTTTGTCTAAAGACCGCCTCGTAATACGATTACTCGTAGTACAGGGAATCAATGTTTTCCACCGGGCTGCTCCCCGTTAGCCTTCCTGGCATGCCTGAACCTTTAGGAACTAGGTTCCAGCCAGCATAGACTACATTGCAGCGCAAAAGCCTGTCCACCACAACAAGGTGACAGCTTTAGGTCGGGATTCGTACACATGATCCACAACTTTGATGTCCCTTGGTTTCAAGAATGTGTTCGATTCTGTAGACCACTCAGCGCTCTTACAAGTAAGACAATTGTTCAGCTGTAACACATTTTGGTGCCTAGCTGCCATACCATCCGACGGAAGCACGATGTCTGAGATACTACCAGGTTGTTCGAGCCTAGACAGGCGAAGTCGAGATGCAGAGGTCAGGTTCGAACAACAGACCTTTCGGTCGGTAAATTCGCACACTAACCGCTGAGACATCTCCCTCCCCCTTCAGCGCTCTTAACTGCACTTGATCAAAAGGTGATGCCCAGGAGTTTGTGAACGTAATTTGGTTCTTATATTGTCCGGTCTCTCAAGATTTCGTCTTCAATTTTGACGTCAATTAAATAATGGGGTGGACGTTGGGAAGTCTTCAGGACTCCTGTGTTCAGATCGTTATTGGGAGGAACCCTGTCTATCTGGATAACATGGTCATCACTAAATACGAAGGCTAAGCACAAGCCCTGTTGGATAAATTGACCATCAGCATGCCTTCTTTCAGCATTTGTCTAGCACCTTCGAAGTGCAAAATCATGTTTCAGAACATGCAGCCATCAAGCACAGTCCTCTCAACTCAAAAAGTACTAGAGGTCACGGAGAGCCTCACATGCCTCGGTAGTTGTATTACCTCTGACAGAAATGTGTCTGACGGTCAGTGCACGAATCTCACAGGCCCAAAGTACCTTCTAGGGTCAAAATAGCAAAAAACTGAGACTTGAAGGTCGTATGTAAGGGCTGTATTGTTGTATCGTTGCAAGATATTGTCTCTGCGGACAGTTGATATGAGGTGTTTTCGAGTTTTTGACCACCGAAGCGTAACAAGACCGTTTTAAAACGGGTATTTGGTTGTGCAGCTGGTAATTCAGTGGCGCAAAACATCCAATATCACCAACTGCTATTGCTCGGCTATGTGCTGCTCATAACGGAACACGGTCCACCAATACCTGTGTTGTTCTGCGTGGCCCCTTCAGAAAGGCGCAAATTTCTAGGTGGACAATAACTTGGCAAAAGGGTATGAAAGAGATTACGAAGAGTTTGGGTGTTGATACGGTACGCATTGCATGATGGGGTTAATGAGACCCCCATGAGCTTGGCTGGAGACATTTCAAGAAATGGCGGCTGGTCGATTTCGCGGTGTTCGTGCTGTCAATTTCCATCCAGATTGGCTGACTGGACTTTTGGGGGTGTAATCACCGAAAAATGTTGGCCCTAGGTCCCTTCCCTTATTCACTCCGTTCTTTTCTTCCCACTAAAAGCTTTGATATAGTTAGATCAACTTTGTGGACAGTTGAACATCAGTGTCGACACTGTTGTTGCTGTTTCTGATGACGATGAAAATTCAGTCCATTTTGCCTCATCTAGTAAGCGCTACAGGTTTAAGGTCCCGAATATAATTGTCTAGAACTTGAATCTCGTTTTTGGTTGTGTTATCAAATGTTCCCGGTCCGATTACTGGAGGATATTTCTATTACGATGGATTAAGGCTGTATAACAAGCTGATCATACTATTTCCATTTGGGGGCTTTCCTGGTGTGACGAATACTTAGGAAAGGGGAATGCTGAAATCACGGTGTGAAAAATAAACCGAAACTATGTTTCTAGAGATGTCACTTGGATGGAGCCTCCTTATCAACAAGAAGACTGTATTAAGAAAAACAATGTTTGTGAAAACGACAATTCGAGATCGTTCAAAAGAGACATAAAACAACTAAAATACCATAAATTAAACAGGCACTTCAAACTATCTACATCTCAAGATTGGGTGGGCTCGAACTCTAACCTGATGCTTGCGGATGAATTGATTGAGGGAGTACACAAATTTGTCAACCTGGGCAGCTGTATCAGTCCATGTAGTCTTGTGAAAGACGATATTTCCATCCGGATTGGGAAGGTCAGAGTAGATTTTGTGAACCTGCATCACCTGTGGCGTAGGCTTGACGTCGGCTTATCTATCAAGAGTTGAGTTTACAGTGCTGCGGTGTGGTCCAGATTACTATACGGGTCAGAAACCTGGTAGCTGCGCGCCAAGGTCGTCAAAAGATTTTCAGTTTTGACCATCGATATCTTCGGAGCATTGTCCGGGTCTGGTTGGAACACCGGGTAAGCAATGCTGAAAAACGTCGAACGGTATTCGGGAGAAATAGCTCACTCATCCTCGGTTACACTACATAGGTTGTGCTGGTTCTGTGTATGCAGTCAAACGACTTCCCCCAAAGGTTCTTTTCACACAACTACGTGAGCGGTGAAAGACAGTCAGAAACGGTCAAAAAATGACTTGGCAGCAAAGCGTAAAAGCCAATACCAGCAAACTCAGCTGCGATGGTCATTGCCGTCTTCCTGGATGGGGACCCCGAGATGAGCTACAGCAATGGTTGGAAACATTGTCAGGCATTGCCCAGTCGCGCCCTCAATGGCGCTCGGGCATCCAAGCTATTGCCTTCAATGCATACCTCCATTCCCGATTCCCCCACTTAACAGTCCAATGGCAGTCCTGGATTTACGCGCCAATTTATCAGTCACCCGCCTCCAATGCGCATCTACCTACCCCACCTCAAATCATCGGTGGACGAAATTCTGGCAGCTACAACCACTGTACGACAAGTACGCAGTTCTTACAGCTGACGATGATGATGAAGATGATGAGTTACGCATATCATTGAACATCATAAGAAGCGGAAAACTCATAACTACAAGCCATACTAAACCCGGAAACGCGTCTAGAGTGGATCCAGCGTTGACAGGAAGCCAAAAAATGTTTTCTACTACACCGATAATGGAAAATAATACCAGTGCTGGAAAATCATAGTGAAAGTAAAAGCAAGCACAGCCTGAAAAAATCGTCCTTCAGTGGTTGTACCCTTTCTGTGCCTAACTACCCTGCTACCAGAAGGAAGCACGAGGGCTGGTATACTGCCAGGTTGCCTAAGCCTGGACAAGGGAAATCGAGAGGCGGAGGTCGGGTTCGAACCACGGACCTTCCGGTCAGTAAATTAGCGCCCTAACCACTGAGCCATCTTACCCATCAAAGCAAGAGGTCCATCACTGTTCAAACAGGAGCGTCGGTATAAGCGCGACTGAAAACTTATGAAGCAGTAAGCATACATCACACGTCAGGTACAAACGAGGAATCTGCCTGACTAGCACGCTCGCCTCGCACGTCAGATGTCTGGAATTCAAATTCCCGCACGGCCATTGGATATGCACTACTGATGAGCTCTAATAAGAGCGAAACTAGGGTCCATTTGGTGTGGAATCACCTGAATAATCACGCCAGAACAGGAAGACGACGAGTGCTGTAAATGTTAACAGATAAGATAGGCTTGAAAAAGCCAGGCGGGTTCTCCAAAGTACAGAATGACTTAGCACCGTAACAAAAATAAAACGAACAATCGAATAAATCGCACATCAATCGTCTGATTTCACTCACTTCGCTGGTGGGATGCACCTAAAATCGAGAGGATCGAAGGTACGTATCCAGCTAATGCCTAGTTCTCAACGGACTACATGGTTATCAGCGTGCGCGAATTTCAAATACCAGATGAACTTGCACAACTTACCGAACCAGTCACTAGTCTCCACATTCAATGCATTTTCCCCGCCAAATGCATTCGCCCCTAAACGACTCCCATCGGTGGTGTCTGTGGCGCTTACGGATGAATCTGCTCTGTACCCAACGCGTTCCGCAAGTCGCCGCCTACGCTGTTCTGTCACATCCAGCAACCAAACGCGATAATAGTAACGAGACCAAAAATCACCGTCAGTTATCCCCTTATTATCGGCTTGTCCCTCAACACGAACCAATTGCGATAGATAAGTCCTCATGAAAGGATTCTGATCCAACAGTTCTTCGGGACTAGGTTGCACAGGTTGCAAAAGTTCGTCCGGATTATGACCCTCATTCGCTGCATTCCGGGCGCCACATAACGGGATGCCCGGCAAAGGTTGGCAGGTGACTTCATCAAAGTAAGCAGCACGCCAGTCGGCATAGTTAAGCACGTTCAAGTGTGCGGGTGGAGACGGTGGCTCTACCTCATATGTGGCTGGATCGGCCCGGAGTACGTGGAGACGAGCCTGAAAGAATAGAGAAAAGGGATGAAGAAACTCAACTTCAGGGGTTTGATTGTGTCCAACGAATTGCCATTGGGCAGATACGTTCCTCACAGGAGAATTGCTGCAATTTGCTTGAAATGACTCCTGTACCACCTAAGTGTATGATCATTTTCCAAATCGATATCGAGCAAAGACAACTAACCCCTACTGTCTGCGGCGTAGCACATTGGAAAAGCACAAATAAACAATCTAATCATGAAGACGAACAACACCTTTTGAAGATTTCACTTACTTCTGGGCTCATATACATGTTGAAACTGTCGGAACTGAGTACTTATAGCCAACAGCATACTGCGTTGCTTTTGCATAAGGTGCAGCACATATGCTGATTGGAAATTCCCCCACGATTATATTTAACCGGTAGTAGGTTGTCTGAAGCTTTCGAAAAATCATCTAATACTAATTATATAAAGAATATTCGTCCCTCGGGGATGTTCACGAGGTGCGAGAAACTACCTCAATACTCAATAAAGTCCTACCAACCCATGTTGCATTCCAAAGCACTAGAATATAAAATAAAGAGGTCAAATAAGATGTCCGCGTTATAATGTGGAGTAGTCAGTTGGCACCTTGTCCTGTTCATCATTGTCCGTTTGATTTGATGATAACAACTGTTTGTCGGTGAGAATAATTTGCTCGTCTTAAATGTGACGACGTTAATTTTGGTAATGTCTATGACGTTTCCTCCTATTCCAAATCCGAATCGTTGCTTTCCTGAAGAATGTCTAAGTCTGGGTGCCCATTCCAGAAATGTATGACAAACAGTCGGTCAGTTTATTGCTGGGCAAATTTCTGCACGTGACATGAAAACTTCACCAGTTCAAGTGCACAGGTTACCAGCTTGATGGAGCCTCAATGCATGTGAAGCATCGACCAGTGAGACCCCCTCCAACTGGCAGCTCAACGCCTAAACACCTATCGGAACAGTAATCCTCGCAACTGAATTTCAGCCGACCGATTAATGTGTCCAAGTGTCTTATGAAACAGTACAAATTGTGTGAATATGATCTTAAGGTGGAACGAATTTCGTTTAGGTTAAACGAAACGTAGTGGGTAAACGCTCTCAGTGAATAGTGTATATCAAGGGAGGCAGAGTTGCGTGAAACTCATGTACAAACAAACTGAGTTCAGCTGCAGCGTCCTTTCGATGAGTGCCTGCAACTCGAAAAACGGACACTTACTGGGTGGCTCACGTGACAATTAACTAGTCAGAATGTGTACAGCGTACTCAAAAGTTGTCCCAATTAGTTTTATTTTCGAACTGACTGAACCCTCATCGCCGAGTATTACCAGACTTGATGAATGTGAATGACAGAAGCGTAGATATAGCACCGTGAACATCCAGCGGCTTGGTATGAATGCAGGGTGGAAAATAAGGATGAGAGAATAGTCTACGTCTAGAGGAGAGTTTGGGTTGATGGGGGGTGTGATGGCTAGGTGGTTAGAGAGCAAATTTACTAAGTGGAAGGTCCGTGTTTCGAACCCGAACTCTGCATCTCGAATTCTCCTGTCTAGGTTTCGGCAACCTGACAGTATCCTAGCCCTCGTGCCCCCTTCAGGCAGCATGGAAGCTAGGCATCAGAGGTGTTTTATAGCTGAACGATTCATTCTAGTTATTATTTTATTTAGGCTGATGGTGGCATGCTGGGAAACTGGTAGCTTACTATGGCAGGAGTTTTTGTCTGTCATGGGGCTGCTGGTGTGCAATTCAGAACTTCTGAAACTAAAAAAGCTCCAATACATTTTTCATCATATAATGGTAAAACTGGGGTGTTTACACAAGGTCCTAGTATGAGGAAGCCACAAAACCGGCTACTCGATGTAGGCCGGATACGAGTATCCCCCGGCCCAAAGAAAAGGGAAGGCGAGAATGACTACGAACTCATAGAAGGCTTATAGGCTCTTGTTCTCTCTAAACAATGAAGATGAGCAAATCAGCAGAGGATAGATGAAAGCCTTTGACAAGTGCAGGGCAATGAATGAATTTTCAGCCGAAAACAATCCTAGCATATTGTTCTGCTGTGGCGCCCGATGTCGATGAATGGACGTTACGCAAACCTCGTAGGAAGCCCAAGCTCCGAGGAAACGCTAGGCTGCATAACCCGGGAGACTATAAATGCTTGTGTTCAACTTTTCATGGCAATACCCATTTCACGGACAAAGTAACGCTGATGTATGGAATCACAGTTAAAACCGTACCCCTGAATCGCAAAAAAAACTCCCTAAGCGATATGTCTTCACCGTTTTGGCATGAAAGTTCGACGACAGTTGGTTCAGGTAGCCGGCAAAGTACCAACGGGCAGGCAAAGAGGTGAAAGAGTATAAGCGGCATGGACTCAATTGCAATGACCTGACAGCCGAAGTTTGGCGGACTAATCTCTTTGCTGAACTTCCTATTGACGGGGGGGAGCAAACACGGTGGCTTGAATCTGATAGTTTTTGACACGCTAACATTCTTTTGTTTTTCGCCTTCGTCCAGTTTACAGTTTTTTTTACTTCTCGAATGGGCTGGAAAGTCAGACTGACATTCACAATGAAATCGAAGAAACATTAGGACAAAAACAGAACGATCTAATCAGAGTCATGGACCCTGGAATTCAATATACGTAAAGCGAAAGTATATTGTACTGAACCCCTAAGAGCTTCCAACTTGGAATGAAAATTAAGATAAGAATATGATAGGGGCATCCTAAAATACAGCGACTCCGAAGATTGGAGGATGCGGGACAATAGCTTATTCAAGTAAACAGAATAAAGCCCGACCAGTTACAAGTGATACCGCTGGATTAGCGTACATTCTAACCACACAAAGTGAATTAGTCTCACGGAGTTCCAGTCTCAGTGAGAGTGCCTCATCATCTAGCCAAAACACGCAAGAAACAAGTGAACAAGACAGGCAGCCAGTTACGTGTGACTCATGTGACTCACATATTTGCGTTCGATCCTTTTTCTGTTTATTTTTAGTCTGAGTGACCCCACCTTATCTTAATAGATATTATATAGTCTACACATTTCCCAGCCACACGACGAAAAATCCACATTATGTTGTTCTGCAGTGCAATAGATACAAAAATCAAGAAATCAAGAATCAAGAAGGGAAATTGGACGATCGGGGTGGACCGCCCTACAGGGTTACTTGCACGCTTAGACCGATAAGCTTCGAAAAATGGTGGAACAAGGCAAAAATGGTCGCCGTTACACGAGCTGAGTATGGCGGACCAGGATGCGAGCTATAAAACTGGTGATATTGTCCACAAGATAAGTCGTGCAAGAAACTTCATTTAAGGCAAACAAAGCATGGAAAGCGGTGAAATGTATACTGACAAAACGATTAATGCATGTAACCTGATATTCGCAAAATGGGTAATGTGTTTCACACACTTCTCATCACGAAACAGTTGCCTTGTGACAGTTTGGCAAAAGAGATTACACTGGAGATCGTTTCGTGAACGAAGCAGAAGTTTCACCCAGCATTGATTAAATAGGACTGTAACTTAGCTCAGCTTACTTCGCGTCTGTCCTTCACGGGAACATGTGTACTTTTATCGGATCCGAACAGGCTTGAGAAAACCCCTTGAACAAAACTGCTGACATCCGTACGAAGGTTGGATAAACTGGGCGGTTCGGAGAATTCCGGGGGCTTGGATTCCTCATTGGCTGAGTCTGAAGGAAAGTGTGTGAATTCTGTTACAAACATTTATCCATCAGCAACAGAGACATCCAGAGAATTCCTACCAGTCGTTTGGTCAAAATAAAGGGAACAGAACAGCTAGGGGTGCTAGTGTGCACATAGTCGCGGACATGAGGGGGGTGTTGTTTATATAAACACTGAGAATATCTGAAGAACCCTCCAAAGAGATGTAGAGTTCAGTTGAAAAAATCCCGTCACGATTTCAGCGTGAGAAATAAGGAACAGATTACCCATTATCCACCACGCCACGTACGTGACAGTGATCTAGGAAGAACCTTTTATTCAACATCATGCTGCTGGGCCTCATATCCTAACCCCTCAGACAACATGCACCGCTCCACCTCGAAGAGAAGCACTGAGCGATTTTTTTTTTCATTCAGTACCAAACTTTGCTACCTTTCATCGGCAATTGGTTTCAGCAAACAGTGCACGACGAGACAATCCATCGTCTGGCATTCGAAAAGCATAGCCGAGTCAGCGCAGGTGGTGCAATCTAATTAACTCGTCAATTGCATAAGCAGATGGTTTATCGCCAAGAACCAGTCATTACACCTCAGCATTGGTAATTCGGTGTTCCCATTAAACACATTAAGTGCTTCGAAGGTACCGCTGGTCGAAGGCAAGCAGTCTTGTCTTCAACCCCAAGTGGCTGCGAAACAACACTGGTGAGCGACGATGTATACCCTAACTTTCGCTAACAGGCTGATCACACGTCGACCCTAGAGGTGCCTAAGTTAGAGGACGGTAGAACATGATTTAACGACCCTAACATCCATTTCGTCAGCAATGCTGCTGTCCGACGTGATAAAAACCGGATAGACGAATCGGTTTACTACTATGAGCAGCTTTCGCGGTGTATTTGCTCGGTATCGTAATAACACGTTGCAATTTGTGCACACTAAAATGCATCACGTCACTTAGACTAATTAGGATTTTTGTACATAGATAGGGTAGAACAATATCGTCCGCATATTCTAAGCCTCGATAGATTCGCCTAGGAAGAAGCCCTATAGCAGAGGTACAAGCGGACGTTTCTTCGATAGCGAATTTGATTACGAATTTGCAGACGAAAGGTGGCACACGACAGTCCTAACGGACACAGATTTTGGCGACAAACTAAAAACACTCTTCGTTGACTTCGACCAGCCTACAGGTGTTAAAGGAGTAAAGTGGTGTAAAGAAAGTGTTCGGCACATCCTTGAAGGACAGTCACCACCACGAAACAGGGCGATCGACTGAATAAGGCGTTGTGGGGTTTGTAGCTGTACACGGGCTGGCGTATTACCAAGATGCCCACACACAGACAGGAAGGCAACTAGGGTCCTTAACCAAAGCATATGGCTGAAAAAAAAACTGACCGCAAAGCAGCGGGTTCCAGCTCACTACTAAAGCAGAGTAGGCTTTTTAGGGAACAAGTCGTCGTATCTTTAACCTGTGGAATCAAGAGAATGCATTCGTTGGAACTTTATCCACTGACCAACCTGGATGAGAAACTCAGTTGGTGTCACATTGAAACCCTTACTAGAGCTCAATGGGTCAAAGGTACACAAACCACCGCACCAGGATAGGGTCCTGTACCGGGTACAGGACATTTCACCACCAACCAGAATGGTGCACTTTGCCATCCGCGGGAGTAACGGAAGTTTGTAAGTGTCAGTGTTGTAATTTATTTCGAAAGATGAACGGATTTCAGATCTGCGTTCGCTGGTTTCAGGTTCTGACAGATCTGGCTAGTCTGAACGCACATATTCAGTTGTTCAAATTGAGTAGATTATAACCCTCTTTCGGTACCTGCCTGCCATGTCATCCGAAGGAACCACAAGGAGTGAGGCTACTGCCAGTTTCCAAAGCCTAGACAGGAGCAGACGAGATATCGAGGTTGGGTCCGAACCACGGACCTTCCGGCTGGTAAGTTGGTGCCTCAACCACTGAGATGTTTTGAGCTGTTCACAGGAATACGGGCAAGGAGAACTTACTTAGGAGTCACACTCGACGCAAGATCAACACTCTGCCGCTATTGGATCACCTGGCATCCAGGAGGTAAACACTTAATAAAGTGAGCAGCCTTGGAATGTGGTCAGGTGCATTATCTCAGAAGCACCTTGTACATGTGAGTTAGAGGTACAGCACATATTGATTTTTAAACAGTGACGGGCGTAATCAAGGGAGGTTTGTTGACTCAAGCTGACAGAGTATATATGTTGAGAACTGCTACACTGAAAAGAATCCTTGGTCTGAGTGTTGTATGTTTGGGTTTCATTTTTTTCTGGCTAAGGGGCCAGGAATCGGCAAGAGATAGGACTGTATCGGTATTGGTAATAATCAGAGCTGGAACCGATAAAGTAAAGACTAGCTTCTGCCTCTAAGCTGCATGGGTAAATGTTAATTCCCGGTTAACCCGACCAGTGAAAGTTTGTTGAAGATATCCCACCGTCAACATTTAACTCAGAAAATCTGGCTCACGTAAGTTGGGGAGGGTGGGATTTTGTTCCGAAACCATGAACACAGCCTCTAATTAATCACCTGATTCGCAAGGCAAAAAGGTGTTGGGTCTTTTGGGGAAACCTGTCCGGAGCCAATGACTCAACAGTTTGGCCTACTTGCCTTACCTAGAACAGGGTCGAACGGAGTGGGATATCATCAATATCATCATTATCGCCGACAGCTGACATCAGTATTCAACACTGATGCTTCGTACGGCCATGATTTGTTGAAAATCCTTACTGTGAGGAAAAAAATAAAAGTAGACGGGGGAGGCATTTAGTGCTAGCCTACCACAATCATTCACGCCTACATTTCTAGACAGTAATTCAGGCATTCAGCATAGAAACTGACAACACGAACGCTAATGACAGATTAGCAGCCATATCCTGCAGCGTCTCCAACCAAGAGCACTGTGGATGATATGGTCTCCAACCTTGAAGGCGAGTCGCACCGACAGCACACAAATGTTCCATAAGCTCTTTCATACCCTTCTGCCAGGTCAGGAGTTAGCCATCTCTCTTCTTCCTCCAGTCTGAATTGTGCACGGAAAACAGTACTCGCTTCAGCAAACGACAGTTCAGCACTCGCAATACATGACCTAAGTAACGCAACTTCTGTTGCTAGACATTCTCTAATGGAAGTCCCCGAAGACTCGTTTGCTAACTGTTCCATTACGGAATCGCCGACACCAATCCACACTAGCTATGATTCTGATACAACGTTAGTCAAACAACTCAGGAAGTCTCAGTTCCGCTGATCAAGCAGGTCAAGTCTCACAACAAAACGGCCCGTACTGCAGCCTGATACACACGTCCTTGAAATTCAGGGGTATGCCGCTTTGACGCCATAGTTGTCTCAAATTAGTAAACGCGACCGCAGCCTTGGAGATTCGTGCATTCATGTCACACTTCGATCGGAACTGATACGACTCCTGACATATGTAAAACGCTTTACAACTTCGAGTGCCTGTCCCTGGATTGTAAGTGGCGTGTTAAGTGACTGCATGTCCAGGGGTATGACCTTACACTTTGTAGGTGCAAAGTGCATACCTAAGGACGGGATGACTTTGATCAGTTTATCCAAAAACACCTGCACCTTTTTCTCCTCCAAAACGAAACATCTGCATAAACCAGATCGACAAGGTTTTCGTCAGAGGTTATTTGAACGCCAAGGGTTTCAATACCTTCCAGCGTTCGTTTCAATATCTCATCGATCACGAAATTAAACAGGGATGGAGAGAGTGGGCATCCCTGGCGGACATCGCTTTGTGTACGGAAGCTTTTGGAGAGCTATCAATCTACTCTCACGCGTCTCACAAGTTTGCTAATACAAAGGTCTCATTAGACTAACAACCTTCGGAAGCAATCCCTGATGGGCAAGCGTTTCAAGTAGAACAGACCGGTCCACTGAGTCGAATGCGCCTTGAAAATCCAGGAATACCAGAATTGTGGATCGCTTATACGTATGGCGTTGTTCTAGCACCTGACGCAGTGTGAAGATTTGGTCAACGCAACCCCTACCAGGCCGGAATCCTGCTTGCTGCTCTCGAGTCAGTGTTTCACGAGCCACCAGAAGGCGACGAAGCACAAGTTACACCAACAGTCTTGTCACGACCGGGGTCGATTTGACCTCCGATGGTTGTCACACCCACTACGAGCTCCTGTTTTGAAAATGTCCACTATCACCGGCTCTCTCCAGTTGTCTGGAACAGTCTCCTTTTCCCAAATGCAAGCAAACAGATCAGACAAACGCTAACTGAGGACTTCGCCTCCATCTCTGAACAATGCGGGTGGGAAGTCATCAGGACCAGAAGCTCGGTGGAGTTTGAGAGAACACATGCAGTCATAAGTCTCCGAGGCCGTAGGACGTTCCACGACCACAGTTCAGGGTTCTACTTCAGCTGCAGGATCCAGATGAGCAGCATATGGTGGCCACAACAACTGTTGCTCGAAGTAATCAGCTCGCCGGTCGAGGCGTTCTTCTTTATATAAGATGGTCACTCCATCCTGATCCTTGGTTTCACTTGCAGGTGGTTTCCGGGGACTGATCGCAAGGATCACCCGAAATAATCTTCGGACATTCCCGGCTTTTTGTGCATCTTTGGCTTTCCGTGTACACCAGATATCACGGTTGCTCGTACGCTCACTTTCACTTGATGTCTGATAACACGTTTGGTCAAGTTATGTTCGGGGCCGGCTGGGATGCTTCGCCGAGACTCAAGCAGCACCACTGATATCCAGTGATAAGAAGTACTTGAGTGGGCCTGATAGCTTCGTGTCACAGGCAAAACTCCAAGCACTGTTCAAAGAGCTGGCGAACTTGTCCCATTATGAATTCACATCTGAGTGGGGCAGTTGGAAGAGACTCGAGAAAACGATTCTGATAAATTCCCCTAACATACGGAACTGACAGTCTGCATGTCAGTCCTGCATTCTTCAGGGTACGGACATTGAATCAGCCAGATAGACTTGGCGTCGAGCCTTGAAAAATGATTTCGAGATGCCAGGGAAGGTCGGCGCCCGTTGATGCTGTTTCCTGCAAAACCGATGCAGGACTAACAGAGTCATTAGTCCTAACTGACGGGTCTACAAGGACACAGTCACTATTGGGGTGGGGAGAGGGGGAAGGAGTATGTGAAGGAGAAGGAAGGGAGGCCTCAACAGTAGTCTGTTTTCGCTTACCTGCTCTGCTGTATGCAGCAAAGGTGACCCGGCTGGTGACACCACGTGAGGGCCGATGTGGTATGAGAGTGTGGTTAGTTGTGCCATGGTTGTACGTGGGTTGGGATACTGACATGGCGCCCACACCTAGACAGGAGTATGATCAGGATCTTCAACCAAAGCCTTTGGCTCAAGAGCCTGATAGCAAGGGGAATGCGGGAAACGCAAATGCGTTTCAATTTTTAAGGAACAAGTCACCACCCCTCTACCTCGGGGAACATGAGACTGTGTTCGTCAGACCTCTAGCCACTGGCCAAACTGGTATGAGAGACTAGGGGGTTTCGCACGGACACCCCCAGTATAGCCAAATGGGTGGCGGAGGTACACAAACTGTAACACCATGGTAAAGTCCAATCTCTTCGCGGCGGAGTAAGCAAGGCAGAACTGTTTGACTCTTAATGTCTCCACGTACTACTACTCGTATTACAGTGGCTTGTTGCTCTTTGTCTAATTGATCCAATTTGGCCTATCTGACATGACTGAAACTTGAGGAACAAAGTTCCAGACAGTTTAGCTAGCAGGATCATCACAAGTAAAACTGATTGTCATCGTGACATGAAGCGAGCCGTTTAATCACCCCAATGAGAACAATTACTGCCGCAAGAAAGAAGACTCTCCCACTCTGTAGATATATAGGTGATAAGGTAACCTGCGTGGGGTGACTCCTGGCAACATGCGAGCCAGCGGACCATAGTTGTGATGAGGCATCGACGAAGTGTGAATAAATACAGCCTGATTTCCAATAGGTGTTATGGTCATTGTGGTTAGCAAAAACTAATCAGAACCGTGAGCGTTTCTGCTGAGTTCACGCCGAAGAAGAGAGCACTGAACACAACTTTCACTTCTACTAGCGCTCAACAGCAGTGTGTATATTCGGCCGTAGCAGGACTTAAACCCTGGAAACTGGTCCACGACGTGTGCGTGTTATCGCCAGTCCACCAACGCAGATGGAGCGCACCTGAATCATTATGTCCTAACGGGCTATATTCGCACTTTGAATCATGTGATTGGTTAGTTTGTCCCCTCGATGCTTGGTTCAAGTAAAAAAAAATCCAGTAACTAACCGAAAGGTCCTGGAAAGTAGGTCAGGAGACCAATACAACAAACACTGAAAGGTTATATCTGAACGCAAGTACTGTGGTTCCCCTGTGTAAACTGGTTAAAATACCTTCTGGTCCCTGTTTTAGGGTTTGACCAAATGCCTAGTTTTGTGACAGCTGAAAGCGAGTGAGACAAACAGTCAAGTTTGGAAGGAACCCGTTCTGTGTTCGCATTTCAAAGTACATCTGCTTTATTCGAACCCGCATCAAATGCATCCTTCCCGCAATACAGGGCAGGTATGGGACACTACTAGGCGTAAAATACATATCTCTAACTGAAGCAGATACTGTGCACGATTTGCCGAAGCTTCTCAACATGCAGTTTTATGTCACTAGACATCCGTTCTTTATTATGCCTGAGTGTTCATCCTCGGATGTCATCAAAAGTCAAGAAGACGTTAAAGATTAATTTCCGGACCACAACCATAAGCGTCTTTCAGCTATTAGTCCCCATGGAGGAGCCTAACTGTAGATTCTTGCAGTTTGGCAGTCAGTCGTTACTGGCTCTTAAGTTATGTTAACGAACTTAACGGTGGGCTGCAACTGCAATATATAATTCAATAAGCACATGGTCAACAGCGTAACCATTCCATAGTCCAGCTTTATCAGCCCTAGGTTGGTTGAGCGGTATTCAGTGACTGAGCTGCATGAACTTCATTTTATTTCTTATGGGAAGTATTCACTTTACATGAAGTGACCATCTTAAGACCTACACCCCTATAGCTGAAACTACGGCAACAAGACCGAGACTCAGTTTTTAGTAGGACGACCAGAACAACGAAAAACCACACTTCGCTTCACAAAGTTTGCCCATATTTAGGCTAATGTAATCTAAGCATGCCTAAGGCAGGCTAAACCAGAAGATTCGCAGGGTTAGCTACACTTTCAACCTATGATAAAGCCTTAGAAAGTCGGAAAGTGTCTATATCATGTGCGCCGCATACTCGTACTGGATTGCCCCCCTTTGGACCACAGTGTGTGTTGACGAGAACGACCAAGAGAGTTTGTTTCAGATAGATGCTGCTAAGCTTACTTTATTCGAAGGCAGAAGAAAACACCCCACTCAGAGGGAAATGGTCGTTTTTTCAGAGGTGAAAAGGAAGTAGTGGTGTGAGTGATATATACAACCCAGATTCCTAAAAACTAGTACGGTGATCCTTGAAGCAATAGACAGGTTCAAGCGGAAACAGCCGCTCTGAAGAACAGGATGCCATGGGGAAGTAAGCTGTGGTACAACGCTTGGAGCTATCTCGAGCTCATGCCACGTGAGCGGCGATAGGGTGGCGAGATGGCGCAGTGGCAAGAGAGCGAATTTAGTGACCAGAAGGTCTGTGGTTCGAATCCGACCTCCGCCTCTCGACTTCCCCTCTCTGGGCTTGGGCAATCTGGCAGTATCCCAAACCTTGTGCTTCCTTCGGGTGGCATGGCAGCTAGGCACCGAAAGGGTGTTACAGCTGAACGACTTGTCCCGTGAGCAACCAATTGAGGTCTAACTGAAATATAACCTAATATGAGGGGATGGTGGCACACGAACCAGACAGTAAGTTCACCCATTTGCAAGATAACTTGGAGTTGAAGGTTGCGGGGATTTTAGCAACCTTAGTACTAGCGTAGATTCCGTCAAGTAAATACAGTTATTTGCTGAAAACACTCTTCGTCAGATAATCTTTATAACCAGGAGCAATAAAGATGTCCTCTAAAGCATTTTCTGCTACAAACAACACTCACTCGGTACCGATTTGAGTTCCTTCCCATCAGCAGTATTTTCAGGGAGTAAATGGAACTGGCTTGCGTCGATTTTACGGGCCGCCTCGGCAACAGATGACAAGTGTTGACGAACTGAAGATGCTGTGCGGGTAACTGCGTCTTTAGGCTCCACAGAAATGGCACTCACAACTTCTGTTAGATCTTGTTTCATTTGCTGCCAAACCTAGATGATAACAGCGGAGTGGAGGGGTGAAAGATGGTGATTTCGTCAGCACGGAACATTTTTAACCAAACGACACTCGTAAAATGGAACAGTCAGTTGTAAAGTTGAAATAAAAAATGGGTGCCGTTCTTAAATAAGTGTAAAACATACCAAATAGGATTCACTGCACCAGATAAGATATTTCACCGTCCAATTTCATACCTGCCCATTACCTACACACCATCTGGATGATGCTGTTGAGTAGGTCACGACTTGGTCACATGCATGTAAGTGAACAGATTGTGTTCACCTTGCTTTGTTACCGTACGTGTCTGCAACTGCGTGATCAGTGAACTATGTACTACACGTTCCAGACCGTTCGCCAATCTCTGTAAAACTGCTGCTTATATCCAAATGAGTTAAATCCCATCCGACCCCTACCATTGGATTACACTGCCTTGCGTTAATTGCACGTCATTTTAATAACTTTTATGGACATAACACTGAAAAAAAGTTTGGATCAGGCATTCTTTAACTAGGGGAGCTTTAAAAAAGTAGAGCTGAGGTACATCCCATCCCTCACACGCATACGGCTTAGGAACAATGTTACTGATTCCAGAAGGTTCCTAAACCCTGATGGCAACGGTTGTAGCTTGTTCATCCGACAAGCAAGTACCTCACATGAGAAGTTGTCCAACGGTTGTCAGCACGGCAGAGAAGCATCAATGTGCAACACTGATGTTATGCTGTCGGTGATGATGTCAGCGCTGACTGGAAGTCGATAATTTTAGGAGTTGATGAAGTACTTAAGTCGCAGCTTTTCAACACTGATTTATGCTGTCGGTGATGATGTCAGCGCTGACTGGAAGTCGATAATTTTAGGAGTTGATGAAGTACTTAAGTCGCAGCTTTTAACTTCCACCTTGTTCCTTCCCACATGATCCTCTAACCCCTACGTTAAACACCGAAAATCTTCCCTCAAGATTGTAGCTAGTCCCGTTCGTTCTCACTCAGCTTTGCACCAGAGTTCCCTAATACTCCTGTCCATTCTTCTCCATTAGTCAGAACTACAGAAGACAATATCTGCTAGGAATCGTCGTCTTCGGGTCATTTGACTCAGATGGTATCCCTTCCAAATGGCTCTGTGATTGTGCCCCTGTAATTCTTATTCAAGTTTTTTGTCGAGAATTCCGCAATCAAAGTGGTCGCAAATCTCTAGGTCAAAAACATCCCCATAAAAAACTTCGTTGTGGAGACTCCCCAACAGCCGAAAAATAAAGCAGTCCTGCGACAAATACACTCATTTGCAAATCAATTTGTTTTTTTCGGGAGACTCAAGTCAACCTCCTGTTTACGATATTTTCCAACTAAACGTGCTGCACACAGACCGCCTCAGGTTTCAGCAGGTAAGATATCCGAAATATCGCAGTATATTTTTATAAAGGAAAGTACTCACAAGGTAGAAGAGTTTCCAGCAACCTTGTGATTAGTCTCCTTTATGAAAATAAATAAGTCTTGTTCCATTGATGAAAACCCACCGACGGACACCTACCCGTTTCATCCTGCTAACCGGATAGGCACAACCACGAAGCGGCCTATTTGTACTGTTTCGGTTGGAGAACTTATACCTACCCGGAGCTAATTTGAATCTCACGTCCACACAAAATGAAGGAATAAATCAGCAACTTGTATAATGAGTGAGCCAGTGTGTTATATATGACTAAGGGAGGAGACTAAATATTATTTAAATGTTAATACCTAAAATGAAATAGCATTCTTTTGTTGAAAGGGTAATGGCCAATTCGGCACAGCATCATCATGGTTAAGCCACTTGAAACTGACCTGCTCGGTACGTAATGACACACCACTGATCCAGTTCATAAACGCCATGTCCAAATCTGACGACTCACCACTGAGTGGTTCGGCCACTGTGCTCGGAACGTCCGTGGGTCTGAAGACAGTGCATGTAATCTAACATCATGGAAAAGACAACGTACATAGTGAGCTCCCGTACATCCTCCACAATAGCTCCCTTCTCTTCTCGCTGACTCAAATCAGGTTCTGCTTGCTCAGAGGTGGGCTCACTTACCGAAAATCGGGACATCAAAAAATTGTGGACTCACCTGCCAAGACTAGCCAAAGAGTTCATGTAGTATACTACTGCATTCTGTGATGAGTGTAGGAAATAACAGAGCGGGTTGATGTGGTGCGGATTCAGAAGCCTGGTTTATACATCAGAGAATAACTTAGTGTACATCTTTTAAATGGAAAAGCATTCGCTGAGAATGCATGAACCATATCTTTATTCTAGGAAAGCTCCTGAACGACGCCAACCATTCAGACGTCTCAGATCGGTCGTTTTTCCTTAACTTAAAGCTGCTATTGACTCGGAAAGCAATCAGAAAGTGTGACGGTTCCTGGCCATCAAAGACGTCCCTTCCAAATTTATATCCTTTATGATGGCACTGTATGCGAATTCCTGTGGGCCCATACGAGTATGCGGGAAGCTTTCACCTGAGTTCGCGAGTCAAAATGCTCCCGGGAAGTTCCCTCATAGTGAGTGTGCGGACGACTCGCTCTCCTCAGTTCAGATCATTCAAAAATTCGAACCATTTTAAACGACCAAAATAACTACCACACGGTTTGGTATGCGCTTCCCGCCTCCAAAGTGTAGAGTGCTGCTACAAGACCGGGTGGGATCAAACCCAAAGCTGTCGCTTGCAGACAAGCCAACCGATGTGGTAGACAACTTTGTTTATCTGGGTACTTGTATAAGTTATTGTGTACTGGCTGAAGATGAGATTACTTCTTGAATCGAGATGACTACGTCGGCCTTTGCCAACCTCGGACACCCACGGCATCCACGTGACATCATTCTGTCTGTTAAGGGCAGAGTTTACACTGGGGTAGTGCGATCCATGCTGCTTTACGGACGAGAAACTTGGTCTCTACGAACAGAAGACATGTTGAGCAACGCTAGATGGTCCTAGGAAGAAGGAACTCTTTCATGGGAGATGAATTACTCACGCATGTTGGGACACATGCTTCGGATGACAGATTACCGTCTGCCTCACAGGCTCTTTTCGCTCAGCCCTGTACTGAATCGAAACGACCAAAGGATGGACAGTATATGACCTGGAAACGAAGTATAGAGAACCTGGCGAGTAAAATTATTCGGTTCAACAACTGCCACCTCCCTGAAAGGGTACCCCGGGACTCAACTTACCAACGGTCACTGACAGTGGCAGGAATGACTCCACTGCGCAGCCAGTATTGCGCGTGTTACTTTGAATGCGTAGCTACCTAGTTCCCGAACTAACTGAACACGTAATCGCCTCCAAGGCTTGGCTGTATGTCCCTCACATTCTGAAACTGTAGCAGCTGAAACCACTGTGCCTATTGTTCACAGTCCCGACCTAAGGCTGCCACCTTGACGTGAAGGCAGTAGGTGTTTCCCCCAGGCGGCCAGCATGTCCATATTTACGGAAGCAGCGATGCTGCCTTCCCCCAAGGAAGGACGGGTTAGAAAAGGTCGGCCCCGAAAACCGCACACTCCGATCGCCCAACGGTTGACCGTGACAGCCGGCGCATTATCCAATACGGTCGAAATACTTTTAAAGCCAAAGAACCTGGTGCTGCTCAAAAGGCACCTGCTGTGCGCAGCCGCATCAGGAATGAGACAGTAATG